TGCGAGAAGATCCAACCAGTCCATCCTCCAGGAAATAAAGCCCGACTGCTCACTGGAGGGAAAGATACTAGAAACAAAGTTGAAGTACTTTGGCCACATCATGAGGAGACAGGAAAGCCTAGAGAAGACAATTATGCTGGGGAAAGTGGAAGGCAAAAGGAAGAGGGGCCGACCAAGGGCAAGATGGATGGATGGCATCCTTGAAGTGACTGGACTGACCTTGAAGGAGCTGGGGGTGGTGAACGGCCGACAGGGAGCTCTGGCGTGGGCTGGTCCATGAGGTCACGAAGAGTCGGAGACGACTGAACGAATGAACAACAACAACACATATGTAGTCTTATATTGAGATCTACTCCATCCAGCAGGAATCTGAAATCAAAACATGCCAATTAACATGTTTTCCTTTTTTTAAAAAAATACTGTGCTATTAGACAAATCATTTACAAAACATCCAAAACTGAAAGAGCTCAAAGCCTCCAACGTCAAATCCTTAATCCATTGCTTAAAAGCAAACTCTAGAATCACAAGTTCTCCCCCTATTATTGTCTAACATGAAAGGCCTGCCTTTAGGAGTCAGTCATTTTACTCCCCCTCTGCCCCTCCCACACCCCTTGAGAAACTGGGATTGATATGTAATGACGACAAACCAACTAGGAGGAGTGGAGCAGGAGGAGATGCCAATCGTACTGGCACAATACAAGACCTTTAAATAGAAAATGCCTTCAATGCACACACAAGGCACTTTTCAGAATCATAAACAGCTGCATTTTCATCGTAAAACTCCCCTGCATTTATACAACTTCCTTTCGTGCCACGCACTGGCTTTGCAAAAGCCACATGCCCCAGGTTAGTTTTCCAAAGCACTGGCAAAGCCAGCAGATGTTGGAGTTTGCTCCCTTTGGAAGACAGATACCTGCTTGTGAGCCTCTCTGCTGGGGCCTCCTCTTCCTCCTCTTCTCCCACAGAGACATCAGGTGATCCATCCTCATACTCAGAGTTGCAATCAGTGTCCATTTTGTCCTCTTGCCGTGTTGTCTCCCCTCTACTCAATAATCTCCAGGGTTGCCTGAAGCAAACTGTCAACAGCAGCTCAGCTCTCCTGACTCAGGAAAGCCTTTAAATAGAATGACGGAAAGTTGAAACACCAAACTGCTGCTGCCACCTTGTTCTTGCTGCTGGGTCCTAACACCACCTTGTTTCTAGGGCTAATAGATTCAACAAGAGGCCTCTGAGCAGCAAAAGACGGTGCCAGAGGTTACCTGCATTGACCCATCAGCTATAGTTGCAGGCCCCAAGTCACACACAACAATTCCATGGGCTTGGAAAAAGTTATGTCACCTCTGAAAGAAGCATTCGAACCATTCTAATAGGACATGAGTTAATCCTGTAATGCCTCTTGTTGGATCAATGGTCATGTATATCTTGCATTGCAAAGAGCTTTGGGCATGTTAAGTCTTGCTCACTATTCTACTATTGGGTAGAATATCTCAGCAGAAAGATGCAGGAGGACAGTGCTGATGGTTGTGGCAGCTTCCTGTCTGTTCCCATCCACTGGAAGTTTGAACTTACACTTACACTACACCACATAATCCACCCCCTTCACAAAAGCCGAAGAAATGTTTCCCCTACCAGTCAAGTTGTCTTCTAAAAGTAGGAAAAAAACACCATCTTGTCCTTTACATAAGGCAACAACATTTGCTGAATGAGGCATGGAGATTAACCCAGGATTTGAAGCTCCCCAGGTTGGGAAACTAGGTTGGCTCCCTCTCCATTTTTCCATCAACAGGAAGACACTTTTACTTGAAACAGGATTTTTGCAACTGACTTTGCGTCCTCTGGGAGGGGACATTTTTCTCTTTTACTTATGCATTTTTAAAATCATTTCATTTCTATGTCTCCTTCTATTTTACTGCAAGCAGCCTTGAATCCCATGTAAGGATGAAAAACAATTTTGTTGGGTTTGGTAGTCATTGCAAGAAAAATACTCCTCACCTTAAGACTTTGCAGATCAACAAGACTCTAGGGTTATGTGTGTGTGTTTTCAAGTCACCTGTCAACTTTTGGTGGCCCCATGGATTTTCTTTGGCAAGCAATATTCAGAGGTGGCTTTGCCAGTTCCTTCCTCTGAAATATAGCCTACAGCGTCTGGTATTCATAGGTATTACTAAACACAAAGCATCACGGTGTCTTTATAGGCCTCATCACACTAGAGTATGGATCCACTTTAAATCCATTTCTGCCTCCCGTAGAATTCTGGGGCTTGTAGTTTAGGGAGGGGGCCTTTAAACTGTTCAGCAAGACGGGTCCTGGGCCTCCCTAAACCACAAACCCCAGAATTCTGCAGGAAGCAGAAACTGATTTTAAAGCGGATCCATGCTCTAGTGTGATGTAGACATCAGACACAGATGAACATAAAACAACATGTATACATAAAAATGCAAACAGCTAAAAATACCGTAAGTTAGAAAGTGGTATAGCTAGTGAAGAGAGTGAGTGTAGTGTAGTTGTTTGAGTGCTAGACTGGAGACCAGAGTTTGAATCCCTTACTCAGCCATGGAAACCTACTGGGCGAACTTGGGCAGGTTTACATTCTCCCAGCCTCATACGAAAGCAAAGGCAAACCCTCATCTGAACAAATCTTGCACACAAAAAGCCTCAGTGCAATTAGGATCACCATAAACTGGAAACTAACCAAAGCAGTGGTTCCCAACCTGTGGTCCATGGAACACCAGTGGTCCGCAAGAACCAAAATATGGTACATGGCCTCACCATTGTCTCGAAACCACGCAGCAACAAGAGCCACTGGTCTCGCAAAACGCTCTTATAGTGCCAAGGCAACAGGGATGTCGAAAGGGGAGACGCTGACTTCCCACAAAAGATTACTACTACCACATCAGCTCTAGATTATTAAATATGGTTTTCTGTGAGTGAGCAGATGGTGACTACTGGATGGCATATGTTCTGTATCAGAAACTTGAGCTGATGTGGTCTATCCAATGCAATTTTCTGAATCAGCACCCCAAATAACCAAACCAAATCTAAAGTTGACCAAAAACTGATTCATAATAACCAAGCCTTTTGGTACTAATGTTGGAGAATGGTCCCTGGTCAAAGTGGTCCCTGTTCAAGTGGTTCCTGGTCAAGTTGTCCCCGGTCAAATAAAAGGTTGAGAACCACTGAATTAAAGGAACACAACAACCATGTTTAAAGAACGCTGTCAAATTTCCATGTGGGAAAAAAATTATGTAGAAAGGAAGAAAATGCAGAAAAACATCATTTTTGCATGTCTTGAGTAAATAACTGAAGCTAAAAACATTTCAGACTTCATATTCTTGAGGTAAATTAATAGCATCTTCAGATTCCCGTACTCTCAAAATCTAAAAGCATAGTCTTCTCAGGTCAATGCATTTGGGAGATAAGTTAAGAGTACTTAAAATAAAAATTTAAAATCCCTCACTAGAGAAGGCTGCAAATCTTTCCTCTTCCCTCCACCATCCTCTTGGAAAGCAACTTGTGACCTCTATTTGTGTCTTATGAAAACAGCAACTGTAAACATGAACTCAACCGCATGACAACAGCAGGGGTTCTTGAAACATAGCACACCAATTCAAAAAGCGAATTGTTCCTTTTCGCTCTCTAAGAACAGATCAAGTGATTGTGACATCTAGATATCTTAGAAAAGTGACTCCTGGATTTTATAGGTTCAATATTCCTAATCTGGAAATTAGAAATGTCTCAAATTTCAAAATTGGCCACGAGTGGCTGAGATATAACCCCCTTTGCTTCCTGATGTTAAATATACACAAAATTTGTGCACAAAATTATTTTAAAATACTGTAGAGTCTTGCTTACCCAACATAAATGGGCCAGCAGAATGTTGGATAAGTGAAAATGTTGGATAATAAGGAGGAATTAAGGAAAAGCCTTAAACATAAAATTACTTTATGATTTTACAAATCGACAGAAAAAGCTGTTCAATACACTGTAACATTATGTAGTAATTATTGTATTTACGAATTTAGCACCAAAACATCACAATATATTGAAACAGCTGTAGATCTGGGGAGGAGGAAGATTGCGCTGGATGAGCCAAGTTGGATAAGCAAGACTCTACTGTATTGGTATAAAATAACCTTCAGGCTATAAGGATTATCTCAAACATAAATACATTTTATGTTTAGACTTGTGTCCCATCTGGAAGATAATCTCATTATATATATATATGCAAATACAAAAAAAATTAAAATTTGCAATTGAAAACATTTCTGGCCCCAAGCATTTCAGATAAGGGATACCCAATCTGTATCAGATTTCACACTACTGTATATTACAATGTCTGTCATTCAACAGGGCCATTCTCCTTGGGATATTGCAGAATACAGAACATGTCAGACAGATTTGGAGGGGCTTTTCCAATTTAGTGGTGTTTCCCCTCACTATTCCAGATTTCTCCCACTGACAGTCATAAACTCAAAAAAGGAGTAACTATTGGGTTGGGGGCTGAACTCCTCGAATATATATTTCTAACAACTGTCTCCATGTTTTAATTCTTCATTGAAATATTTATACTCTTCAATCTATCAAAAGATCTCAGGGCAATGCATGATAAAAATCATCTTCAAGTTTGTTTCCTTTTAGAAAAAATGCCTCCCGGGCCAAAAATGGCTTAGCCATCCTTTGGAGGGCATGGAGAGGATAAATAGAAAAAAAAAAAGTCTAGTGCAGTGCTATTCAAAATGGTGATCAACAGACCAGTACCAGTCCATAAAGATTTTCCAAGTCAGAAAGAATCAATAGGCACAAATATGATGCTGGTCCCCCACATCAGAGAAAGCCCAAGAAGCAGTAGTACAGTGGACAAAACAAAACAAAAAATTGTCAACTCTACATTGTTTCCAAGAGTAACAATGCTGGTTGTGAGTACACCTTCCACAGCACTACCAGCAAAACATCACCCAGTGAAGCAGCTCAAAGAAAAAGATGACAAATACAAAATGTAATTTTATTTTCAATACAGAAATTTTATTCCACGTAACACAATAAAAATATTCAACTTGATGAGAAAAAAAATCGGACATCAGCAAAAATCAACATTTGTTAACATACGAACTGGTCTGCAATAAATATAAGAGGCACCAATTGTGCTACAGCAGATCTAAAAGAAGTTCCATACTTCTTGGGGGAAAGTTAAAATGTACGAGATTTTTTAAAATCCCAATTTAGATAGCAGCGGACCAGCTTACATACTTAACACAACACAGAAAAAAAATCATCTTTTAAAAAAAGAAAAGAAAAGAAAAGCTTGGCTTATAGTAGCAGCTATGTTTTGCAGTCATCACTACTATTCATTTTGAAAGGAAACTGTAGGACAGGATCTGAATCAGGATGGCTCCGTATCTTACAACAAAGCAAAAGGGTTTTGGGTGCAAAAATACAAGAGAACTATGATTTGTTCTGGTGCAGGAAAGGAGGGGCAGGGATGCAGAAGCAACAGTATCACCTTTGCACATTTAGTTTCATATATTACACCGAAAGTATAGCTAAGAGGAAGCAGAACTCTCACTCATTCTTCTTCTCCCCTTGCTTTATTGTAACATTCAAAGCCACCGCTGGCCTGAAATAAATATTGCTCCTTGATTAATTCAGGGTCGGTTGCCAATCTCTCTTCCCCGACTCAACAGGTGTGTAGAGCCTGTGTGTCAGTCTGTGCACATGCACACAGCTCCATTGGCCAGGCTTCTGTTTTGGACTGAAAAATACCTGACAATATTTGGGAGGGGTAAATATCAGGTTAAGCAGGACACATGGGTGGTTTATCAAACCTGTTGCATTTGGTTGTGCTCAGCTTAGCAAGTCCCATGTCAAAACAGGCTAACCTCAATTGTTCAAGAGCTCTGTAGAAGCTCTGCTGATTAAAAATTCCAGTTATGTTTACAGCTCCTGGGATTCATAAATGTTCAATGAGGTGGCAAGCCTGTACCTGAGCTGTCGCATTTGAAACTACATGTGTCACACACACACAAAAGCATGCTCCCACAAAGGAACATTCCGTGCAAAAAGGAAGGGCCATAACCTAGCTATCTTTCAAAGCTCTAGTTTTCCAAATATAGGGTTGCTGCCTGGTCTAGCATGCTACCTCTCATATGCATAGATTGGAAACATTGCTTTATTAAATTAGAGTTGCCAGACTCATTCAGCTACTATGGCTACTGGTCATGTTTGGTGGGGCATTTTGGGAATTCTAGTCCAAAAACAGACTTTTCTACACTCTGCTCACATATAGTGTAAAGTGATACAGCCCAGGCGCATGTTTACCAAATAAGGAAGACTGAAGCTTTATTAGGATCATGTTGTTTTGTTTAAAAATCGTGGTGTGATGTTATAAGACTATCAAAAACTGGAATAAGCCAAGCAGAGCCAAGGTGCATATTGCATTTAGCAATTGTAAAGCAGAGGATACGAACTCTTACAAAAGTATATGTCATAAGTTATTTTTTAAGGTCACTAGCTGTCATATTATGCAACTCACCAGTTTTACATTTTAATATGTAATGTGATCAGTTCAACCACAGCAAAGTAGACATTAACATAAAATCAACCTCCAACAGGTTTGCCAAATTCATATTACAGCAGTCTCTTTATTGGTCACGTATTCAATCTGCGTCAAAAAGCCTGTCCTCAATGGTTTGAAGGAATTTCTATTTAACAAATGGTTGTTTCTAACTCTTACAAAAGTTTGCTTAACAAAAGCATAACAAAAATTGCTTTTAAAAAGTGCAGTGGGCTAAAGGAGAAAAACTGCATCCTGTGGTTTTGATAATGTCTTTCGTATTTTAGTTCAGAGCAGTCTAAGAGGACAAAAGCCAATCATCTTTTTTGTATCGTTGCTCTTAAAGGTAGTATACAGTTCAAGTCCTTCCTGTCTCTCAGCCTTTGCCATGACTAAAAGACAAAACAAAACCATAAACACATTAGTATTCCACATGACTGAAGCCAATATTGCAAAGTTAATAACAAAGCCTGAAACACAAGTAAGGTCAAATGAGTATGAAAGACAACCCAGCAAAATAGACTTTAAAACTTATTTAGGATGTTATTTATTGCATACTACTTGGATAAGACTCAGTTATGTTAACTAGCGTATACCTTTAAGGAAGTTTTTCCTTAACAGAAGTTCAAAACTGTACTGTGTTATTGTTAAATTTCAGCAGCATATCTTAAATGCCACAACAATATATCACATCAGTATTTGCTTGTGAAAGTAATATAATCCTACTAAGAGGGGGTCCAAAAGTCTTAATAAGTTTTTGGTTCAAATAATCACAAATAACATCTAATGAATCCTTTTTAAAATACAAGCTGACTAGTGAAGTGACACTGGACACTAGGCAGACTGAGATCTTTATGGTGTTGCTGGACTGAAATTCCACTATTGGCTACTTTGGCTAGAACTGGTAGCCACAGCAGTCAACATCTAGAAGCCACATGCTGCCCCAATCTACTCTAAAGGAAAGGAATCTCAGAATCCTCCTTGGTTTGGCAAAGTCACTATCCATGCAATTTTGAGAGTTCTTGTTTGAGAAAGCAATGCTCAAATCTCAAGATTGCACAACTATTTGGAGTTCAGCCACAATGGGAAAACCAAACGTTGATTTTATATCTATCTATCTATCTATCTATCTATCTATCTACCTATCATCTATCTATCTATCTATCTATCTATCTATCTATCTATCTATCTATCTATCTATCATCTAAAGTATAAACTTGCACTAAATGTTTGGTTTCACAACAAACAATGGTACAGGAAAAACAGATGAACAGTTGCTTCCATATAAGGTAATAATTTTCTATAAAGTTACTCTATCATGTTACCTTTCGAAATTCACCAGTGATCATGTCAAATTTCTGCTTTTCATGAACTGCTCTAGCAGTGTTTGTTCGATCAAATGGTTCTGAAAAGGTTCAAAAGATATTATAAGCAATCACAAACCATGTTTAATTAATTAATCACATATTGCATAGCCTTCTACAAACACATAATTCCAGTGCACATGGATGCATGCTTATACTACATTAAACTGATTATAAAGGACATAATAAACAATTTGATTTTACTCCGTGTTTGTCTAAGAAATTAAGTAATTGAATGTACTTCAATTAACAATTGAAGGAATGACTGGAAATGTAAGATGCACATTCTTGAGAGTCAGGATTCTTCAGGAGACTCCAAAATACACATACATTGATTTTTTAATAGATTTTCTGTGTGCAAGAATAGAAGGGAATGTGTAAATCTGACATTCTCCAGAGCTTGTTCACATAATGCCAATTATTTTACATTGTTTTACAATATTTTTAAAGCAACTGATGTGAGCTCCCACTTAGGCATTCTCCTCTGGCAACAAAAACACTCCATAGAAAAATCCCTAACTGCAACAGATTATTTATGGATAATTCTCTACTAGTAGAAATGTTGTATTAAAGTTGCAGAATTTTTACCTTCCACACAGATGAACTTGTTTCTCCATTCAATGCCATCGGATCTTGGAAGGGCTTTGGCTTCACGAACTGAAATCATTTGACTGCTCCAACTAATAATGGAAAAAATAATTTGGAAAAATGTCTTGATACAATGTATTAGACATATAATCTTCCATATACAATTAAGGGAGACACTTAGATAATGTATCTGCTCTACAGAGTAATCACAGATGGATACGACTTGATCCCAGCCTACAGAAACCTGGGATTTGTAGTTCAACAAATTACCACATATACTCCAGTATAAACCAAAATTTTCAGCCCTTTATTAAGGCTGAAAAGCCCCCCCCCCCCCCAATAGCTTATACTCAAGTCAAAGTTATTTATTATTTTACTGGGTTATTATTATTATTATTATTATTTATTAAATGCATTATTTTACTCTATTTATTATTATTATTATTATCACATTTAAATTACTCTTATTTTTAATTACATTTATTATTTTACTCTATTATTGTTATTATTACATTTATTATTTTACTCTATTATTATTACATTTATTATTTTACTCTATTGTTATTATTACATTTATTATTTTACTTTATTATTATTGGAAGGATGCGTAAACAGTTACACTGAAGGTTAGAATAATGGTTTAATAAGAGTTGTACAGTCTTTACAGTTGTACAGCATTTAACCTACTGATGCCTCGATTAATGTAATTTTATTGGTATCTGTTTTTATTTTGAAATTTACCAATGCCTCCTGCATTTCCCACCCTAGGATAATACTCGGGTCTATGCGTTTTCCCAGTTTTTTGTGGTAAAATAAGATGCATCAGCTTATATTCGGGTCGGCTTATACTCGAGTATATATGGTAATTAGAATTCTCTGCACAAAAGCTCTTGTTCGCCATCTCTGAACCATAACACCAGGGCTTCTATCAGAGAATGATAAATATCTCCCCAAACTACATATTCCAGGATTCAACACCATCACAGATAAAAAGAACATCAAACAACTGTGTGTAATACAGATACACTTAGTTTATACATACAGTGCTTTTCTACAGTTTATAAATATAGCTTCTAAAATAGTGAAGCTATAGTACATGCAGAAGACAGATCTTCAGTATACTCCCCAGAAATGCCAAAATGGTTGTTATTGATCTTGCAGATGAGAAAAACGAAGAAAAATGTGCTGGGCCGAAGTTAGTATGGTACAAGGAGAGACTGCATGGGACAAGATGGAAATCTGGAGGGGGTTAGAATTGCTCCTTGGACCTTGCACCCTGCCCCCGCCCCCGGCTAATTTGGCTGGATGGCTCTCATTTGCAAAATCCTAATAGATAAAATGTAGGTCAGAGGAAAGATAAATGTTACAACATCATCTGGCTTCCATCCCAACTTGTCAATAAATGTAAGAAAAATAAGCTAAGAGGAAGAGTTATGTAACAGAATTAAGCAGATCACAGCAGGCAGTAATGCCGTTCTGCTGCACGCTGAACGAAACATTTTTTTGCAGAACCCATCTGGCTTCTAACAGCACTAAAAAAAAGCAGTTGCAGCTTCAGTGTAACCAGTGAGCCAAGCAATTAATAAGCTATTTTCAATATACAGTGCTTCTTACCAATTTACATGCATACTTCAGGGAACCAAAGGAAGAAGCATCATTCATAATTTCCTAATAAAGCAGAGAGGCAGCCATATAAAAAAGGGGGTTAAATGAGCTGCTTCTATCTGGTATTTTGGACACATGCACACAGACCCACACTCTCCTCATTGCTTTTCTGCAAAGCAAAGTGATTCCCCTCCATTTCATGAGCTATCAAGGAAACAGCATGTCCCAAAACAACAGCACAGTGGTGTACAGAAGATTTATCCAGGGCTGCTGACAGATCCCTGGGTGATATACACAATACGAGAAAGGATTTCTAAAGTTTACATTTTCCAATAATCTTAAAGAGATTTTTTACAAAATGATGTTTAGATGCCATTTAATACCCCCGCCCCCCATATAAAAATGTATAAAGGGGGAAATAATAAATGCTGGAAATGTGAAGTTCATTAAGGCTTCTATTACCATACATGGTGGACCTATAAAAAGGCCAAAAAATTGGAGACAAATTCATGAGGTAATTCAATAAATTCTTAAGATAAGAATCTGCTTCAAGCCAGAACACCTATCACTAGGACTGTTAGATGATCAAATAAAAAAGGAAATTGGGAGTATACTGCGGCACATGTTAACAGCTGCAAGACTCCTAGAAAGTTAACAGCTTTGTTGAAGGATAAATCACCCAATATATTCTTAGAATAATGGAAACCTTAATATCAATATATGTCTGAGTGAGGGGGAAAAAGACGTAATGTACAGTTTTGGAGATATAAACTGTTAGGGGCTTCCTGAGTTTAAAATTAACTGCTTTGTTTGAGAGGAGGGGCTTCCTGAGTTTAAAATTAACTGCTTTGTTTGAGAGGAGGGGCTTCCTGAGTTTAAAAATTAACTGCTTTGTTTGAGAGGAGGGGCTTCCTGAGTTTAAAAATTAACCGCTTTGTTTGAGAGGCGGGGCTTCCTGGTTATCCTATATAAACCAGTGTCGCGCAAGCCTGACGGCGCGCGCGAACTCGTACACTCAGTAACCTATACTTTCACCCCTGCATACAGACAACATCAAACACACACCAAGAGGAGGTCATTAGCAACCTCCAGATGGAACAAACACGAAAACTTCCCGTCTCATGCACAAGCTGTGGCATGTTCAGCTTTTTCACACTACAATTACTCAATTACATCTGCCCCAAGTGTAAACAGATCACTCGCATGGAACACAGGATCCGACAACTCGAGGACCGTATTAAGACCCTTAAGGACATTCAGGAACTTGAGCTGTTCTTAGACACCACACACCACACTGTCCTAGACACGCAGCCCATATCACACCAACATTACGGGGAGGCTCAACAGAACAGCACCTCAGATGTGGACAACCCTCAGGCTTGGAGAAATGTCACCCTTAGAAGGACACATAGTACCCGGAAGCCTCCTCAGGATACTTCCGCTCAGCTGCAGTTACACAATAGATTCCAAATTCTCACACAACTAGCACCTGACCAAGAAACACAACATATTGGGGAAGACCAGAATGGCTTAGATACTGATCAGTGGCTCGTCCTTGATCAGTGTGCGGGGGATAGCCCTGACTGGGACAACACTTCACAACATTCACACTTACACAATCATGCAGGTGTACCATCCCCAGCCATAGACCAGGAGCAACAGGAACACATACAGGAGAACCATAGGCTCTTGGACGAATCTCAATGGATTGTCTTGACGAATGCACCGGGGATGTCGAGGAGGAGGACAACACTTTTCACCTACACAATTCACACCAACAGGATCACTTTTCTGGAGACCTACACACTACATTGCACAAAAGGGGCCCTGTCATTCCCGAAAGTAAACAGGTCTTGGTAGTAGGCGACTCCCTCCTTAGAGGAACGGAAGCTGTCATTTCCAGACCGGATGGGATGGCTCGAGAAATATGCTGCCTACCGGGGGCAAAAATACACCATATCACTCAGAGGCTCACCAGGCTCCTCAAGCCCTATCACCGTCCTCCCCTCATGTAGGGGAGGAACCAATGTAGGAACCAATGATACTGCAAGGCATACGTTTCAAAAGATCACAAATGATTTTCGAGCTCTAGGAGCAAAGCTAAAAGAATGTAATGTACAGGTGGTCTTTTCATCCCTCCTCCCTGTTGTAAGACACGGACCCACAAGAGCCAGAAAAATAGTACAGGTCAATGACTGGCTTAGAAAATGGTGTCAGGAGAACGCTTTGGCTTCCTCGACCATGGCCTGCTTTTCCAGGAGGATGGCCTACTGGCAAGGGATGGGGTGCATCTCACACAAGTAGGAAAACACCTTTTTGCTCACAGACTCGCAAACCTCATTAGACGCACTTTAAACCACCGGGGGAGGGGGACAACAGCCTTGCGAACACTACTTTACCCATAATGTCTGGGAATCGCCAGAAGGCTAAACGGAGGGCTGCACAAACACAACAAGGACCAAGTACCAAAAGCACAATAATCCCAATTAAACATCTCAAGGGAAGATCTCAGGGGCTCACATGTCTTTACACTAATGCACAGAGCATGGGAAATAAACAAGACGAACTCCAACTTTTAGCACAACACCACAAATATGATATCATAGGGATCACTGAAACCTGGTGGGATGACTCCTATCGCTGGAATGTAGATATCGAGGGGTATAACCTCTTTCACAGAAACCGAACAAAGGGGAGAGGAGTCGGAGTAGCCTTATATGTCAAAAACTCTTATGCTGCAGAAGAGATTCAAGACAGCAATCTGGGAAACCAGCTTGAAATCATCTGGATAAGAATCAAGGGAACTGGGACTCAAAAAGATGTCGTTGTAGGCGTCTACTACAGACCCCCAAGCCAGGAGGAAGAACTTGATGAAGTCTTCTGCCAACAGTTGACCAAACAGGCACAGAGAAGAGATGTAGTAGTCATGGGCGATTTCAACTATCCCGATATTTGCTGGAAAACAACTCGGCCAAGAGTACAAGGTCCAACAAATTCCTCGCTTGCCTTGCAGACAATTTCATGGTCCAGAAGGTAGAAGAGGCAACAAGGGGATTGGCTACTCTTGATCTCATCCTAACAAATGCAGAGGACCTGATCGATGCGGTCGAAGTGGTAGGATCCTTAGGGGCAAGTGACCATGTGCTCCTGCAATTTGAGGTACAAAGGAAGGCCGAAACTAAGACAAGTCAAACCCGCATTTTGGACTTTAGGAGAGCTGATTTCCAAAAAATGAAGGAAATACTGAGCAGTATTCCGTGGACACAGATACTAAAAGACAAGGGAGTTACGGATGGATGGGAGTTTTTCAAGAGTGAAATACTCAAGGCGCAATTGCAAACAGTGCCAACAAAGAGAAAAAATAGGACAAGTGCAAAGAAGCCAGAATGGATGTCCAAAGAACTTCTAACTGTGCTAAGACACAAGAGACATGCACAAGAAGTGGAAAAAGGGAGAAATCACCAAAGAAGAATTCAAACAAATAGCC